GCTCTGCCCTATAGGATTGTTGTGTCAGACTTGACTCATTTGCAGTGGGTGGTGATTATGTTTTTGTGTCAACTTGGCTGGGCCTGGTTGAGTGGCTGGGCAGCTGGATGCAGTATTCCGCATGATGAGGCTGGTAATCAACTCCATGGTGGAATCCACTGTGAGCAGCTGAGTAGCTGCCTTAGGGAATGTGGTCTGCTTCCTGTACATAAGCAGAAGCCTTGGGGAATGGTCTCTAGCTTATGGCTTGCTAGAATCCTGCTTGTCGCCATGTTGTTGCTCAGCAGCCTGCTATGCTCTGCCGACTCTGGGACTTACAATAGACTTAAATGAATGGCTTGCCATGTGGTTTGGTAACATCGGGACTGTGCCTTTTTCCTTATCAACCTTGGGCTTGGCAGCCTCAGCAGCCAGCAGCTGTCTGAGTGAAGAAACGCCTCTAGCTCCAGTGGGCCGGGAGCTGGAGGCAGAGCTGAAGCCCAAGGCTGAGGGGCTTTCACCCAGCCCCTAGAGCCTGGCACTTTGAACTTGGACTTAAAGCCTCCAAATTGTAAGATAAATTCCTGTTTGTTAAGGCCATCCCATTTGTGGTATAGTCTTGTTAGAACACTAGGTAACCAGAACAAGAGGGTTTTGAAAATTGCATCTTTTTTTTTTTTTAAATTCTAGAAGAAAAGAACAACTGAAGAACAATGAACGAACCATTGCAAATTAAAATATGGCAAAATAAATTCAGAGAAGGGTTGGTTGAAAGTGAGTTGAGAAAATTGCCCAGAAAAAACAACAAAAAAATCCTCTGCATATTTATACTCTAGAACATAAGAATATGACTAAAATACCTTTTCTTTTATCTAGAATATGTTTGATTGAAAATAGCCTTGCTGGTTACTGTACTTGTTCTCCCCATATTTTCAATGGATTGAGGTGTATGAAGCAGCTGGTTTTCTCAGTGGCCCATGGGAGCATGGGAAGGAGAGTTTGGGGCCATGATGATGGTTCATCACTTGACCCCATCCCAGGGCTCAGGGCTCATTGTTCAGGGTCTGCCCAAATCTATAGCTCTGATGGAGTGCTTCGTACCTACAGATCATTCTCTACAGAAGATGACATCTTTGAGAAGTGACAAATCGTTGGTCCATTTATGTTTACATGTACTTGATGGGGCTTGAAATCCAACATTGTTGGTGTTTTCTCAAATTCTGAACAACAACAACAAAAATGGTGGTCATATTCTGCTTTTTATATGGGATCCTTTTTACCAATGACATTCTAATCCTAATAAGGTTTTTGTGGGGCTTTTTAGGGCCACCTCTGAATGTCCTTACAAAAAGTGTTTATGTGTCTCTGTTTTTCTTTTTCTGGGACTCATGCTCATGATTGCTTTTTCAGTAAGGTGTGTGTTCCTCCCCCCAAATGGGGCATTATTGGAATGCAGTTCAGATTTTTAAAAAGTATAGTGGAATGTTTACATAATATTATAGAAGAATATAACTTTGAAAAAATGTTCATGAAAAAGTTGTAGATATGTTTTGAATTAGTAAAATTTTATGTTTATGGACTTGTAGAATTTTTCCTTTATAAATTAAAAACCTGGGAAAATGACTTCTAAGTTGTACATGAACTTTCCTTGACCTGAAATTAAGATTATTTTATCATTTATTTCCTTCCACAGAAGTTATGTTTAGTATTATAGTCAGGTATGTGGCGGGTTGTGGATTTTCTGACATTTAATATGTGAATCAGTCCTTTAGTTCAAATGGAAAGATGATGACTGTTAGTTTACATTTGCAGGAAATTATTCTTATGTTCATGTGTCTCTGATTTTAAATCTCTGAAGAGAAGTGTTTCTGTAGTAAATAGTTTTTATGTTTGTAGTTAGAAGTTTAATAAGTGAACAAACAACAATGCAGATCAGCTTGTATTGCAATAAATTCTAAGGAATTACCAGGCAACTTTTATTGTACTAGAATTAAATATAAAATAAACCCATTGACTAGGAATTATAAAATAGTTGTGTGTAGTTTTAAATCAATGACAATATTTATTATAATCAATTTTTTGTACGTTTGAAAGTATAGAGTTTTAAAAACCAAATGTTGACTTTAAACAGTTTTTCTTTTAAAATTAGCAAAATTTCTAAGAATGACTTTTTTTCTATTTTTTAACTTAAAATGGTCTGTGCACTTTTATAGCTAAGATACATTTTCCATATAGAGTAAGTTGTCTGTGTATTTTGTGGCACATAAAGGTTTTGGCATAGCCTGGTACAGAAACTTATTAATGGAAAGTTAAATGACCTTTGGAACATAGGGCTCATAAGGTGTAAATTTTGGGGCCATTTCTAGGGTTCTTTTGCTATGACTCAGATAATTTAAATTTAAGTCTTACATATGGTCTTCACAGGACACCTGCATATTTTTTAAATTTTTACTTAAATGTTATCTTGGATTATATGGATGTTAGAAACAAGTAATTTATTATAAGTGGAATTTTCTTCTCATAGTGGATATAGACACAGATTCTGTCAAGCACAGGACCATCTATCACTTGTGTGTGTTAATTGTCTTCTTTTGTAATACTGAAATTTCATTACAAAATATAGAATGGATATTTGCTGAGTATAGCTGTATATTTTATCCTGTTCTTTAAGCTTTGGTTTAAATAGTTATGTACTTACTAAGTCTATCATGCAAGTGATTTTAAATACTGATTTGTCTATATGTAAAAGCTTTGGAGAATCATAGATTGCAGGAGAAAGAATATCCGTATGAGATTGAAATCTGAATACTTGGGTTTGAGATTGGCTCTGTCATTTGCTTTCTTTATGGACTTAGACATAAGTGAGTTAAGAATTGTCACCACAGCATTATTAGGAGCACTGAAAACTATGAACTAAGTGAAAGGTCTTTGTAAAGCAGAAGATGATGCATATTTCAATTATTTTATCTTGTATGCCATGGTTTTTGATCTCAGACACTTTTGAAATGAAATAGAGCTGATTGAAAAAAGGTTGAAATCACTGAAAAATGATTTGCTAATGACAGAAAAGGACACAATTTTTGCTCCAAATACATGTTTCCGTGTGAGTATGTATGTATAAAAAAAAGATGATGATATTTTATTTAAAAAAAATTTAGTAGTCAAAGAGGATGAATGGGTAAGTTGTTCTTTGTTATAAAGAGAGTAGGGACCAAAGACATTGTTTTACATTGAAAGTTCAGTATTCAAACTTTGTTTGTCTGAATTCCACCCTTTCTTATTTTTCTTTTTGTCTCAAGAGGTCTAGTAGGAGGAAGGGAAGATAGTGATTCATTTGCAGTTTAATGATTGAAATAGCAGGTAGGACCTTTGTTCCATTTTTTATTGCCAAACGTTTGTTGGAAGCTTCAGTTTGTGGGAATTTTAATAATTTAGTAATTTAATATTTATCGATTGCTTGGTATGTTCAAGTATTATTATAATATTATTTCTCTTCTTTAATCCTTACAGCACCTTTATAGAGAAAATGTTGTTACCATCATTTTATTGATGAGCAAACAGTATATAATAGAAATTGAGTAAGTTACTCAGACATACAGTGATGGTAGAGCCTACGTTGGAACCAAGATCTCCCTCATTCTATAACTGTATGTTTACCACCAGACCATTATGGCCTTGTTCCCTTTTGCAATAATCCCATGACTTTAAATTTGAGCCAGAAATAATTGCATTATGCCTTTGAAGAACCCAAACAATAAAGTCACTTGAATCTTACACCTTTAGCAAAGGCTAAGATTTAGATGTTTCCTAGGATGCTCACCTCTCTGCTGGAGCTTCATTTGATATGAAGGTCAAAGTCACAGTGTGGGTTGATGGGAATCTGGGGTAAATAGTCGGTTCTCACTTTTGCTGATTTTGAAAATCCTGTGGTACTCTTGGAAAGCAGAGTTCTCTGAGGGATGATGAGTTAATATAGTCGAGTCTTTGGAGTTCCATAACTTGGGAGATAGGCCAAGAAGTGATATTGTTCTCGGATTTTGGGTTCTAAACACTTGTAGAAAGTCCAGTATTTCTTTTTCAAAAGTTGTGTCACATGTATTATTCCTTGTTCAATATTGCTATCACCCCTACTTTGGGCCCTAGGACTTTGTACATAGACTACTACATAAGCTTCTTATTTGGTTTCTTACCTTTAGACTCTCAATTCATTGAAACCTTTCTACTATTGCCTGGTCTATTTCTGTAGGAATTTCCTGCTTAAATTCTATGTTGATTTTCTGGGCTGTCCATAATTTTATTTCTACCACTTAACATGACTTCCCCATGTTCCACAGCTCAAACCATGCTTTATAGCTGATGGTTATACAATTTTTCTCCATTTCCTCTCTTACCACATCACTCCTACACTCTGAAAAATCCCTTCTTTGTCTGTTCCACCTGTAAATACTTTTTATATAATTCAAGACCTGGTTTTATTTTCCTACTTGGAAAACTTTCCCTGCTTTTCCTAGTCCTCATTGATCTCTCTCTTCTTGGAACCTCCTGAACGATACACTTTTAATATCTTCTGTTTTTATTCTTGTTGTTATTGTTCATAAGAGGCAAGTATCAAAATAGGTCATGTATTCTTTCATTAGGTAACATAGGGCCTAAGGCACTTGACTGCTCACCAGAAGGCTGGCAGTTCAAACACACCAGCCACTCCTCGAAAGGAAGGTTGGGCAATCTACTTCCGTAGTGATACCGCCTTGGAAACCCAAGGAGGGGTCACTGTGAGTCAGGTCTGACTCGATGGCACATAACAGCAACAATCTCTTTGATGCTCAACAAAATCTGGGTACATAGTAGATGTTAAATCACTACTAGGTAGATTCATTGCCTCAGTATTGGTACTCACTTTAGCAATGTGCTTAGAATTAAATAAAGGAAAAACCAGAATACCATGTATGTATAGAAAAGTGCTATGATGTTAAAATTATTAGCTATTTCCCTGATGTGTTTTTTCTCTTTTGCCTCACCAGCAATCAAAGAGAAGTACACAGACTGGACAGAATTTCTCATACGTGATTTGACTGGTTCACGGACAGCACCCGCCAACTTACTGGAAGGTGTATGTATTATTGTTATACAGCTATCTATGTCTGAAGCATCACAGTTACATGAGCTCAAACCTAGCAGCATTTTTGCATATATCCTTCTTCAGATAACATGTGAACACACAGATTTCCATATCCAAATAGCTTAATTACCTGTTCTTTACTGAAGTACTTAGATTACTGATTGTAACAGCATTAACAAATGTTCATCTCTGGTACAATCAATAAATGGAAAACGTGCTTTCATGTGAGTGGAATTTAAAATAACATTAGGATATTTTTCTACTATTCTATAAATTTAAGCCTTGATCCTTTATTAGTCAACATAAATAAACTCCTGTAAAACAACTGTTTTATGCAGATGACAACTAAGTATATATGTGCTCTGGTATAGTCTCGAGTTATTGTGATAAACGGTTCCATTAAATATGCCATTTCTGATGGATGACCCTGAGAGTTGAACCTGTATAGGTTAACTCATAATTGAGCTAGCTTACTTTATAAAAAAGGAGCTCTGGTGGCATAGTACCTAAGGCATTTAACTGCTAATCAGAAGGTTGGAGGTTCAAACCCACCAGCCACTCTGCAGAAAGAAGACTAGGCAGTCTACTTCCACAAAGATTTACCACCTCAGAAACCCAAAGGGGGTCGCTGTAAGTCAGAATCGACTTGATGGCAGTAGTTTGTTTTCTTTTTTTTCACTTTATAAAAACGAGAAGAAATGGCTAACTATATTTAACCATATTTTGAGGTGCTGAAATAAAAATAGTTATGTCTGAAATCTTGATGATTCATTTGAAAATAATTTTATAATAAAAGATAAAATATTTTAATGTTTACTAGAAGGTTGGGCAATCCTACTTCCGTAGTGATACTGCCTCGGAAACCCAAGGAGGGGTCGCTATGAGTCGGGGTTGACTCAACGGCAAACAACAACAACAACATATGTAATAGAACAAAAAGAGAAATGTACTGTGTCAGAGATAATTATTGAATTGCCAAATCTGTTTTAAGAATGCCCCTAAAAAAGGGAAAACGAATAACATGGAAATTTGTATGGATTTTGGTTATATCATTATTCCCTTAATTTTAATCTTTCCCTCTCTCATAAATGCACACACACACACACACACACAATTTAGAGTACTACTGTCTAATGTAGAGTTAACTGAGTTTTGTGAAAGTTTTGCCTGCTGCATTTGTTTATTGAATCTTAACGTCTACTATTGTTTGTTGAAAAAATCAAAATGATGATTGTTACAAAATGATTTCCCATACATATGGAAAAAATTTTATTATGTTGGTTTAAATTTTTTAAAACATATTTACTTATGAGATTGGTTGCACAAACACCTTTTTCAAATGCTAACATGGGCTAAAAAGTTTTTTTGGATGGGGCAGTAATTACATATTCTCTGAACCTGCTAACCATCAGGATAAGTATAGAAATAACTTTATATAATAGTATAATCTAACGGATTATGAATGTGCGCTAAACATGCCATCTACTGGTGGCATAGTGCCTGAGGCATTTGACTGCTAACCAGAAGCCTGGTGGTTCAA